CAATCCTACAATCAACTGATAATCATGATACTTTACCTTCCAATCGACCTTTACATGTATACCTTTTCTACCGTAACTACTTAAACAATATACGTAATGAATTATGGAAAAATCAAAATTTATCAGCATGGGGAAAATGGTAACATTTCTTTAAATACGATGAATTCCAAAACAGAGGTACTATTCATACCCATGGATTTGCCTATACTGAAAAAAAAACATATAAACTTATTACATTAAATACGATTCGAGCTGATGTTCCTGATCCTAACCTAGACCCTGATCTATACCAATTAGTCACAACATTTCAAATTCACTACTGTGACTACTGATATAGACCACAAGGCTACACCGATGAGCAATGCTCCAAAGGTTTTCCTCAACCTCTTTCTGAATATACCTATTGTACCCCTAATAGTCTCCGATTTATATACCGCCGTACCAAAGAACAAGACAGAATGGTCGTCCCTTATCATCCCGAAACTTTGCTTATTTAGAGAAGACACATAAATTTCCAGTATATAACCTCCAATGGCTTCGCCAAATATATCACCAAATATGTAACAAAACTGGAGCCCTCTGAACTCTTTGATATTGACAAACAAGATAACTATAGAAGACATATTATGGCCCGTCGATTAGGCGCTATGGAACTAATAGTACTTCTACTACAATATCCCTTAACCAGATGTTCCGTCTCAGTGCTCTATCTTCCTTCTGCCCCATCTGAACTCAGACCTAGATCAGTTAAACCAATCCATTTACTCAACCAACTGAAAACATATGATATTGTTTGTTATGCTAATTGGTCCCACAGCACATTGATTTGTACAAAGTATTTCCCCATAATGTCAATTGGTCCGTTTCTATATAAGTTATAAATTTTCTTTTATTTGTCACATAGCTCTAGTTCCCGGACAATGAACTAAGTTAGTTATGTGTGCATTTAAATGAGTATATATCGATATATCGATATAACGATATAACTGTTATCAATTATAGTTATCAATTATACAACAACAACTACACACAACAAGTTATACTAAAACACATTTATAGTATACAACTAAAACACATTTATACAAAAAACATTATACAAAAAACATTATACAAAACATTATACAACATTATAATACAACCACAATTTATTTTTTTTCGAATGACATCTTGCCATTTCTTTGGTATGAATGTTATGAGACAAATTTATGATTTGCAAACAAATAAAATAAAAAGATATTTGTTATATGTTATAAGTTTGACGGGTTATATTTATTAATAAAATATTGAAACTTTCTTGAAATAATAATAAAATACAGAAATTTTCAATAAAAAAAAAATAATTTCCGAATTCCTTCGTGTCTAAATAGAATCATCTTTTAACATATTTACTAAATAAAGATTGGCGCAACATCTGACTCATTAGTCATTAGATTATTTTTATTTTTTTTTTTCTTGGAACTTTGAGTTAATGCTACTTTCTTTGAATTAATTGACTTACAGGCGCCTTGATACCACTTATGTTAATATATTTCGGATAAAAAACAATTCAATAATTCCTTTTAAGATTATTCGGAAGTGACGATGGTCATCTAACTCTGTATTTATACAGTTTCACAATTTGATTATCCACCTACACCGAATTTATATGCGAAGAAACGAAAAATATGCATTAATATTAGAATATCACATCTGCAATTCAACAAATATATATTTGAAACAAAGGAAAAATTGGCGCCTCCTCACTAAAAATTTCATGGATCCGAATACCCAACCGGACAAAGCAGCAGTTTTTTTTTTTTTATTTTTACGTATGATTTTAAAACTTTATATTGATCGATCATACATAGCTAAATTTTGATAAAACTCATTAAGTCGCATATAAATTACAGTTATTTTTGTATATGTAGTATATGTAGTATAATATGTAGTATAACTTATGTACTATAAATTTTATACTATTTATACTGTTTAACTAAATTAAAAAAAAATCAATTCAATTCAATAAAATATATTGTACTTTAAAAATTTTTATAAAGGGAAATCTTTATATAAGATCACATCATCTTCCTCAAAAAAATTCGCGTTTTCTTAACAGAATATCTTTTAAGAATCAATTCAATATATTTAGATATTTTGACTTATTTTTTTTTTTTTTTTAAATGAAAGTGGATTATCTTTATTATCATTTTTCATTTTTCATTTAAATATATTTCATTTTCGTTTTTATTTTACGTAAAATAAAAATATATTTCAAAGTTCTTTATTATTATTATTATTATTATCTTTTTTTTTTTTTTTGATATCTTAAAAAAAAATGTCAACACCATATAAATCTTTTCCTTTCGTATCATCTATTATATCACCTCCTCCATCTCCTAAAAAATATCAGATCCTTCTTCCTCCTCTGAAATTTCCTTTTGAATATAGGAATGATGATTCTACATCTCTTGAATCGGTAAAACAACAACAACAACAACAAAATGTATTGGAAAATAATTTTTTTCCTTCTATAAAGCAACAAAGTAGATATCGAATGCGTTTATTAGATGCTCCAACTGATCTTTTGGATTATATTGAAAAATCGAATTCAACAATTCCAACTCCACCATCACATTGCCTTTCAAGATTTTCTTTATCAAACGCAAAATCTTCACCTCTTGAATTAAATCATGCTGTTCCTCCGTTAACTCTTGGTTCTTCATATCCTATTACAATGCCTATTAATCAAGATAAAAATAATGATCATAAAATTTCGGTTGGTAGAAATCGAAATACTCGTAAGAATCCTTATCCTATTAGAGCTCCTACTATGAGTTCTCCAGGAATAACTTTTAAAGTTGATATGTATACACCCGTTTTAAGAGATCCTTTGGCTATTTTACGTAGTAATGAAAAACTTAAAAGTACTACTATTAATAATAATAATAATAATAATAATAATAATAATAGTACATCAAAAATTTTTGGTATATTATCACCACCAGCATCTGAACAATGTGATTCACAACCTTCTTCACCTCCAGCTGAAGATTCAAAATTTAAAATTCAAGATTTAAATTCATCATCATCATCAATTCGTCAATCTTTACCAAGAAAACCAAAACGTCTTAAAAATTTACAATCTAAACGTTCAGGTATTTCAACACCTCAACGTAAAAGAAAAGGAAATAGTTTAGCTAGAGTAATGGCAGATCGAGGATTATTAGAATCTGTATTTAATGCTGATATTACTTCTAATGATATTAAATCTGTTAGAATACCTCCACCACCTTCAATGCAATTTGACGATTTAATGAATAATATTAATAAACTTAACCTTGACACTAATATGTTAGAAAAGATGTCACCTGAAATTACTTGGAAGGGACAACCATTATCTATAGCACATTTACCTCATTATGATGCTTTACATCCTACAGAAGCTCATGTAGTATCTGTTCTTCGACTTACACCAGTTCAATATTTAACAGGAAAGCATACACTTGTTTCAGCTGCTCAAAGATATTCTCAAAGAGCACTTCCTTTTCGTAAGAGTGATGCACAAAAATTACTTAGAATCGATGTTAACAAAGCTAGTAAACTTTGGGAATTCTTTCAACAAGTTAAATGGATTTAAATAGTTTTAAATCATTTTAAATAGTTTTTAAATGGATTTAAATAGTTTTAAATAGTTTTAAATGGATTTAAATAGTTTTAAATGAATTTAAGTCATTATATTCACACATTTTAGAAAAATCTTTATTTAAACAACAACAACAAAAAAAATCAAAAAAAAAATCAAAAAAATCAAAAAAAAAAAAAAAAGGAAAAAAAAAATACATAAAATACATCTATGAATATAAACAAATTGCACAAATTATATACAAGTATATTTTTCTTTAATATATAGCATCTAAATTTTTATTTTTTAAGCTTTGCTTTTTTCTCTAGAATTTCATATTTTGTAAATACTTTTTTGTTGCTTTCTTTTTCTTTTTTTTTTCTTTTTTTAAACTCTTATTTAAATTACGATCAATTATATTGTATTACGACTTTGTACAGGTTAGAGAATCAATAAGTCAAAAAAAAAAAAAAAAACCAAAAAATAATAAAAATTTCTACATTTTCTGCTTAGTATAATTATTATTATTTTTTTCTCGCACGATTTTTTTTAAACGTTCTAAGGATAAATTTCATCTTGTATCATTGTTAGACAAGAAAATTATTTTTGTATAATCAATTTCACAAAAAGATAATCTCCACACTTCAAATATAAAATGAAATAAAATAAAGCTAAAAGATTTTTCTTTTTAAAAAAAAAATTCTTTACCTAATTCTATAACTGATAATATAAAAACTTTATTAAAAAAAAAAAAAAAATCTTAGAAGAATTGGGGTTAAATGAAAATATTTTAGGATTTGATCGTCATTTCACTCCCTATCAATCAGATTTTGACAACTAAAATAAACATAAATAAATAAATTAAAATGAAAAGTTGCATGCTGCGATAGTAAGATGGCAACTTTTTAACAAAAAAAAAAAAAAAATAGATGTACTTAAATCCTTTCTTGATTTAAAAAAATCAAGTTTCTTTGTTTTTATTTTTGGTTATTCTTTAAAAATCTGTTTTGTATCCTTATGTAACAAGTATAATGATATTTTATGCGTTAAGGAATAATTATTATCGTTATAGCATTTATAGTGTTATAGTCAAATTTATCTGGATTAGATCTACTTAGATTTCTTTGTAATAATTAGATGTAAGTGTTGAGATGAACGTGTGAGAAACACACGATTATCTATAAATTGGTGAATTTTTTTATAAATGACATGTTTGCCATTGTATTTTTTTAGTCATTTTTCCATCTAAGACAAAATATAAAAAAATAAATAAAATAAAATAAATCGAATGTAATTTTTTTTTTTTTAATGATCCAAGGTCTGTCTGATCATCTTTGATTTATTTATCAATAATATAATTACTTTAATTAGCACTAACCCATTTTTTTATTATATTAATTTATTAATAATTTTACATGATTTATCAAGTATATAAAAATTCGAGGAATGAATTAATGAATGAATGATGAATTCGAATATTTTACATTATAAAATTTTTATAAATTTGAGATTAAAAAAATACAGATGAATATTTTGATGATCTAATTTAATTGAATTAACGTTAATGATATTACCGGTAATTTAATAATAATAATAATAAAATATTAGATACGTATCATTAATATATAATACGTAAGTAAATATTGAATCAAATCAATAATTAATTATAATAATTAATAATTAATAATTAATACGTAGTGAATTATTTTAATAAAGAAATTCGATATTTGTTATATTTTTAATCCTGTAATCACCAATATATGCATTATAAATTCATCTCATAATTATCTTGGTACACAGTAATTTATAAGAAACATATCAAGTATTAAAAGAATAAAAATAACAAGCTAGGAACGAACTATGATAAGAATAGATCATGTGAAAATCATTTACACATGGCAAAAGAATATTAGTGCATAAAGATCATTTTCATCTATCATGTACCAATTAACATCTCACAAATTTTTTGATCTGTGAATCCCAACAAATGGCACCAGTAAGCTAGAAGAATATTTTTCTATTCCGCTAAAAAAAATAAAAAAAATAAAATAAAAAAAATTTGAATTTTTTTTTTTTTTTTTTTGATTCTGAACCCAAAAATTCATTTGTTTCCAAAATGCGGGTAAAATTTTTGCGGTCTATGGATAAAGAATACTTCCGCTATAAGATATTTTTATTAAATTTTTTTATTGGGAAATCATTGAAATTATTGATAAATGCTTATTCTGGTTATTGTCCGAAAAAAAAAGGGTTCAATGTAACGTTCCTTTTCTTTTTTGTGGTACAACATGATACGATAATACTTTTTTATATGATTGGAAGTAATTTCTTTACTCAAGACATTTTTTCCAAGACAATTTTCTTTGTTATGCTAAACGAAACTGGTATCAAATTTAATTGAGTTGATCTACTAATATGAATTTATATGGTCATATGCGCATTAGTCTTCATTTAATAATAAATAATGATTAACCGATAGAAGGTAAAATAAACCGAAAAGAAAAGCTACTATTATGGACAGGCGCAAATATGAACGAGTCTTGTGTTATTAGCTCTGTAACAAAAATAATAAATATGGCATGCAGATAAAACGTTTACTAAAGTATATTTACTAAAGTATGTTTACTAAAGTATGTTTACTAAAGTATGTTTACTAAAATACGTTAAAAATAGGTTGAAATTAGAATATCGGATATAGTAATGTTATTATTATGCCAAGAAAAAAAGAAAGATTCGGTATTATACTGTTGTTATTAATAATTAATTAATTACCGATAATAATAATCTTAATAAAGTTCGTAAATTCGAAATTTGACTGTACTTATTTGCATATTCGAAATTTGACTGTACTTATTTGCATATTCGTAAAACTGTTTTTCGCGTATATCGTGTGTAAGTAT